GGTAAAAAATTGAGGAAAAATATACAATATGAAATAGAGTAGCATGTGAATATATGAAAAATATTTTTACATTCAAAAAATGTTTGGAATAGTAATCTCAAAAATTGGATAAATCGGGTAGTAAATCAGATCTACCATCTACGGCGGTTCAGAATGTACAATCTACCAACAACTAATCCATCTAAAGGGCTTAGAATGCATAATACACCAAAAACATATACATCTACGAATGAAGAATATGATAACTAACATTCCTTCTTTGTTATGCAGTTTCAGTAGAACATAGAATATACTAAAGACCCATCCGTCTACCTTGGTAGAACATATCTTCTTAGTTTTAATGTTTTGTCTACGCTCGTGGGATTACGTTTCCACTGGTTAAACTAATGGAAAATTTAGTAGAATGTATCTTCTACCAACGGTTTATGAGCCACCATCCGAAAATCTAGGAAAATCTAAAGAATAATGGTTAGTAAATATTATCTAAATATTTTTGTTTCCTTTTTTAATATTTTTTGCCATGAACGTGTTTAAGTTTCATATTTGGTATATATAACCTATTATATACTACCTTTTTTTATTATATGACAATATGATAACTTGGTTCAGTGGTTTATATGTCTAAAACCTCTATTAGTAACCCGAGTTCGAGTAATTGCACTGCACATGTTTTCCTATTTTTCGTCCTTTTTTGCTGTTTATAACACTAATCCTTGAAGTTAACATCTTTGTAGAATTTAGTACGCAAAGTACTCAAAGGAAGCAATTAGCATCTTTGTGGAATTGTCATGGTGAACTCATACGAGTGGTTTTATGGTTCTTATATTGATGCATTTTATATTGACGGAATGGTCACACGGTTTCTGAAAAACAAGATAACAATCAAACATGTCTCAACAACAGAATGGTCACACGGTTTCTGAACAACAATATTGATGCAATTTATATTGACAGAATGGTCACACGGTTTTTACTCATAAGAACAAATCGCTCTCCTCACTCTGCATTTGTTTCGCCATGGAATGAAGGAAACGATTCAGAGACTTTTCAGCCGTCACCAATGCTGCATCTACTTCTTTCTACTTCTCTGGGGTTACTTCTTTTCTCTGCTCATGAACCAACTGTACTTTCCGAACAAGTTTACGCAGTTCCTATCAACAATAAACGAGGTAGAAGTTAAATATCACATCATCAAACCTTATGATGCTTTTTGTATCATACATCTAGGTTTTAAAGACCTATACACCTTAGTAAACAAATCATATACGCATACCTGTCTATCGAAATCAACACTCTGAAGAGAATAAACTTCTTTTGTGAGTTCCACATTTTGACTGACCAGACCATCAAACCATCTCGCAGCTATAGCCATATACTCTTCTGAGCTCTGAGAAAAACATTATTTCAAAAATTATACGAGTTTTGGAGAGCAAAACAACTGAGAACAGTTTCTATGTAGACAACAAAACACAGTTCTCTTCATCCATTTAAAAAATTAATCAGTAGCGACAATGATTCATCCTCTTCTCTTTCCCTTAAGAAGTTTGCTAAAGGAAGCTACTCTAAACCGCTATATTTTACCCCTTGCTATATAACATCCTGTCTTCTACTCACTTAATGAAACAAAAATGTGAACTTGAACGTATATCGAATGTAGTGGTTTAGACTTACCTCTCCTTCATCTTCAGACTCTGTTTTTGTATCATCAAAATCACCAACTCCAGCGCCTTCTGCACCATCCTTTGCCGAAGCAATCAGCGCCTGAATCCTTGGGAGATCACCCTGATTGGTAGCATTAATCAGACTATCCATCAAATCAGGTTCAACTTCACGCAACAACTTCCCTAACAAACACACCACAAATCAGCTAAAACCGAACTGAACACTAGAGTAAATAATGTAACTTTTTCTCTCTCTCACCCACCGATATAATTAAAATGTCTACGCTTCCCTTCTCTAACATCCGCGCCTAGTCTCTGCGACAATACAACAAACACCTTACGTGCATTATTCCCATAACACGATCACCCAACTTAAAAGTACTAATTTTTATTTACCTTAGCAAGCATCAACGCATCGTAAACCTCTTCACCAAGCGATGCCGCTCTACAAAAACGTAAACCCAATTCGTTTATCAATAAAGTCGACATTTTTAATTATTAGGCAATGATGATTGATTAATTGATTAATTACCTCATAACTCTCTTAATCTGATCACTAGAGAAGGAAGCTAACTCCATACCCCACTTAACAGCGCGGCGAGCGTCACGCTTCCGCTGGTTTTTACTCCTCGACGACTCGGATTCAGACCCATCGCTTTCACCACCGTCTTCGGCGACGAGAGTTGTAGGAGCGAGAGCTTCAGGTGGAGCGGGACGGCGAAGTCGACGACGAGGTGGAGATCTTGCGGTGGAGAAAGAAGGGGATAGGAGGAGGAGAAGAGTGGGGGAAGGAGAAGGTGTGTTTAGTGGCAGCTTTTTGGAGAATAAGTGACGGAGGTTGCGAAAATGGTGGTGATAATGAGGCGAGAGTTGCCGTATTGGTCGTATTAGTTGCGCCATGGAGGCTCCGGCGAATCGTTCATAGTTGAAGAGAGTCATAATTGGTCGTATTAGGGATTTTGACCCCTTTTGACTAAACATATGTATACCGATTTTGTGTAGGGTATTAATATATGTATTTTTACCTTTTTAATTAGTATTTGTATTTTTTTATTAATTCTATTCAGAAATTTAAAAAAATTTAAATACTAAGGACTAAATTGGATTTTCATTAAAGTTTATTCTAAGAGGACATAAATCATGAAATTTATTCTAAGGGGACAAATGTTGTGTTTTTCGGTCCCCTTTTGGCAAATTTCCCAAAAATAATCCACCAGAGAAAGAGTTCTACTTTTTTTAGTACGTGATGAAAAAAAAGAAACAACATGTGCTATTATCTCAATCAGAAAATCGCTTTCTGAGTTTTACCAAGGTTTAAGGTCACCAACAGGACCAGCGGTCCAGTTCAGAACCTTCTCACCTTCCCTCAAGTATATGCTTCCATCGTGAGGTAACTTCCTAGCCAACCCGTTCAGTATCTGATGAAACGCGTCCCCTGATTCCGCCGGCTGAGGAAACAGCATGGCTCGTTTCATCGAAGGATTCGCTAGAAGTCTCTGTTTCCTAAGGATCACGTCCGTTGGTATAGAAGTCAGGATCGTGTCTAGTTCAGGAACATCTTTTTCCGCAACAAAGACTCCTATCTCTTCCCAAGGGATAGCGTCAGCAAAAGGGAGTACTATGTCGTCCGCTATAATAACTGGAATGCACCCAAACACAACCGCTTCAACTAGTCTCGGACTCCATGGAGCCCACCCTAGAGGACATAGACAGAAGATGGATCTTTGCATGTCTTCGTAGTATGTTGTCGGGTGGTCTGTTGAGATGTCGAATAGTGGGTTGTTCTTGAAGTTCTCCCACACAGCTGCTCTAGCACCTCTGTTCAAGAAACTCCCTTATTCAGCAAGTTTGATACTATGTAAAACCTCATCAGTTACTAGTCTAAAAAAAAATGTACCTTGCATAATAGCCACCTTCAGGATCGTTGTTGACATCGTAGAACAGACCGCGGAAGTAGACAAAGATAGAGCGTGGAATGTCTGGAGGAATGAGGTGGGCTTGCATCTTTTGTGGAGGTGCAAAAGGTGGAATAGTGATTGAGCCTTGGTCCAAACACACATGGTTCCTCTGACCAAATGTTTGAACCAAAGTGGCACGCTTGAGTAGTGGAAGAATCCCTCTTTCAATGGCTTTTTCCTCCTGTTTAGTTTCAAATCAAATCTTCAGTTTCCACTCAGTTCATTGGACTTTACAATTCTATGTCATAAACTCATACACAGATGCTCAGTTTCCATGTAACCAAGCTAGATAAATAATCAATCTTATCATTACCAACTAGATCAGTTATAAACAAAGCCGGTTCTAGAGATAGCTAAGTGAAATATTGGCATTGATTCCTAAATTTTTAATAATTTGAAAACTTTTTTTTAATTACAAAAAAATAGGTCTTTAAATTATTAAAAATCAAATTTTAAGTTTTTTAAAATTAAATTATCTTTGGCTCCAAAATATTAGAACCTACCTGGAAAGATTCCCTCATGAACAACAGTTGCCAAAGTATATATATTAAAGTGTGTTCTTGAGTGGAAAGCATCTCTACCTGATAATGGAAGCAAGCACCAAAGTCATGTGGCACGACAAAGAAGTGATCAGCACCTTCTGTCCGGTTCCAATAAGGCCAGTTCGATGAGATTAGTTGAATGGCGCTTCTCATCATACGCGGAGATTTAAAAGGCAATGGCAAGCCGGTAGGAGTGAGATCGCAAGTGGGGTAAATGGGAGTGTAAAACCAATCAGCTTCATCGGGGTTACGCGTTCGGACAGGACTAGATAAGAGAAACCTGTGCATGAAAATCTCGGCAGCAAACATGTGTGTAAGACAACGAGGGTCTTTTTGAAGTAACTTCTTGTTGTACTTGCTTGGAAGCTCGTATACGTAAACCTTAAGCTTCCCCACTGGATCATCCTCCAATACATCACCAGCACTTCCTGCAATTTTAAAATGACATAACCTTATAAGGCTTCACGTTGTACACTAGTTGCTTGAGAAGGTGATAAATGTAACATTAGGTTACCTGAGATTCTCTCGGTCCGAGCACTATGCTCAGCGTTTGAAGCAGAGAAGAAGAGAAAGAGAAGAAAGGCAGAGATGGAAGAGCGATTCATTGTGTTTGACGGAGATATGTGGTTGGATTACAGAGAGGAGAATGTATTTAAGGAAAGAGTATCGTTGAGAGGTCATGGGGGGAAGTGGTTGAGGAGTTTACTTCGAGATTAGGTTATTAGGGTTTTAATTTAATAAGAAAGGAAGCAAGTTTGAAAATGAAACGGGGAAGAAGCATGGAAAACGAAATAGCTTCAAGTCACAGATAAGTAAGCGAAGTTTTTGCTTGTGATGTACGTTCTCTTGAAATTCAACGACCAGACAGAAACGGTGCGCGTACGTATGACTTGACTAAATATACACTGGGCTTCGTTAAAATGGCTACTGGGCCATTAGATAGCACATTGAGCATATATAACAGATTAGTAATATACAATCGATGTGTTCAGAGACCATGATCCCCTTTCCACTTGTATATGAATGACTATTATCACTTTGACGATTTAACAGTAGATTTTAAATTTTTATATAAATACATGATTTGATTCATTCTCAAATAATACATAGACAAACTATACAAAATTAGTTATTATGATTAACAAAAATAAACACAATAAATTTGCATAGTTTTTTGTGTTTATCTTCTTTCTATAATTTTAACCCAATCAAAATATAAAAAATGGATCTTTTAGAAACAACTTTTTTTTTTCTAGAATATGTATCTTTAAGGAACGAAGGAAGTATATTTTTTTATAAAATGAAAGGTGTTTTCATCTTTTTATTGGAAATTTACGCATTGTAAATAGTCACTTTCACTACAAATTGAACTTAAGTATCGGTAGTTAACAACATCCATAATGATGTTATCCATTGGAGTTCTTAATTTTTTTATTTTTAATTATTATTATTTTTTCAGATATATGAATAAAAAAAGTAGATATTAACAAATCTTTATTTGGAGATTTTTAAAAGTTAATCTTTAACTTCTTGCAGGATCCGTTAATTATTTAATTATTATTTTTATTAGGATTCTCTATCTCCATTGCATCTGCTCTAAGGCTAAGCCAATGGTTAATTATATAGGTTTTATTTATTCGTCAACAAGATTAAATCCATCATCACGGTTGTTTTTTAGTCAAATTCAACACTAGGAAAGATTGATCATGAAAATTTTTTAGGACATGTGTGTTCTTATTACATGTGGAAAGAATAAAAAGGAATCACATTTTGACCCAAACACAAGAAAGAGAAGCCATCAAGAGTGAGTTAGGTGTGCTTAACATTGAAAAGGCATTGATCACGGCGTTTGTCAACTACTCCGTCTCTAATGATATTTACATTCCTTTTCTTTTAAGATCTCAACCAATCCAAATAAATATGCAATCAATAATTTGTTCACATCATCTCTGCCTTGCTCCTCCTCCTACTGTCCTCTGCAACCGTCTGCTCTGCCACCGTGTTCCTTCAATCCGCCTCACAAACCATCGCTCTGCTACCACCTCCCTCCGTCTCTTCACTTGTGGTAGACCCCACCACTTCTTATTTCTTTTGTAAACTTTATTTTCTGTTTCCTTTAGATCATAATAGATATTTTGGTGGGTGGGGGGGGCTATTCCTTCAGAGCCTGAAGGATAAATTGGTCAATTTTCATGACTGTGACTCTGTGTTTGCATCTGAGTGATTCTCTTTTGTGGGGTTTACAGCAGCAGCGAGTAAAAAGAGTGAAATCATGGCAGCAGCGAAAGAAGATGGTCAAGATCCGAGAATCCCTAAGATCGCTTCTTCCATTAGAGTCATCCCTGACTTCCCTAAACCAGGTCTCCCTCTGTTCAAACTAGTTTGCAATCTTGATCTGTGTGATCGTTCTTAATGTTTTTTGATTGGATACTTTTGGAACAGGGATCATGTTTCAGGACATAACGACGCTGCTTCTGGACACTGAGGCCTTTAAGGATACCATTGATATTTTTGTTGAACGATACAAAGGCAAAGGCATTTCTGTTGTTGCAGGCAACTAACCTCTTCCATATATCCTATTATAACTTATGGGGTTCCTATAGAATGTGAAAGAAAATCTATTCCTTTTTGTATTTAGTGAATTAGAGGTGGATGATTTTTTTTTCTCATATTTGCAACTGAATGGCTTTGGTGAAATGGTCAGGTGTTGAAGCTAGAGGATTCATTTTTGGCCCTCCTATTGCCTTGGCTATTGGTGCCAAATTTGTTCCCATGAGGAAGCCCAAGAAGCTACCTGGTACCATTTTCCTGTCCTCTAGTAGTAGTAACTTTTTTATTTCTTTTTAGTTACATTAAGCAAAGGTCTTGTTAACATAGTCGATAAGCTGTGTAGTCTGTTGAAATGGGACAAATAGATTTTGGTAGCAAGTTGTTAGTTTTCTTGCTCTTAAGTTTACAATTATCGTTATCTTTTGGACTCCGAGCAAGGTGGTGACTTGCAGTAGCTTAAGTTGTTGTTTGTTAATGTACATACATATTGATAGAGTAAGTTGTTTAATGTTTACCAATCAAGAAGCTCCCTGGTATACTATTCTATCTTCTAGAGGCGCTTGCTATTTTGATATTGTGTTAATTCAAAGGTCCTTTTAATATTGTCGACAACATAGGAAGTTGTTGTTTGTTGTTCCGTATCGGTGGACTAAGTTGTTTACTCTTGACCAATTAAAAGGTGTTTGTCAGGTTTCATTTGGACACTTATTGAGCAAAAGTTCCACATCAGTATCGCATTTTTTGCTTATCCATGGAAGATAATTTCTAAAAAAAAAGAATGCTTTCTAATGATAACTGGTGGTTTCGTTAACAGGGAAGGTTATCTCGGAGGAGTATTCATTGGAGTATGGAACAGATAAGATAGAGATGCATGTAGGTGCAGTAGAGCCTGGTGAGCGTGCTATCATCATAGATGACCTCATTGCCACTGGTGGTACTCTCGCTGCTGCCATCCGACTTCTTGGTAAGTGCAAGATTTTATTAGTCTCTCGATTCATCCTTTTGATAATGCAGCATTTTGATTGAATAACAAAACAAAAAAAAGTTTCTTGACTTTCTATTTCTCTCTCTCCTGTCTATTGGTGTTGCAGAGCGAGTAGGAGTGAAGATAGTGGAGTGTGCATGCGTGATAGAGTTACCAGAGCTGAAGGGAAGGGAGAAACTAGGAGATGCGCCACTATTTATTCTTGTAACCTCAGATGCTGCTTAATAACAAGAAAGAAAACCCTGAAAGGAAAATTGTTGTGGGAAGGGTATCAAAATGTTAGGTTTCTTTGTGTGTTCCTTTGGGATTTGATGATCACTTTCTTCTCGTTGTCAACTTATATCATAACAGGCTTGGACTATAGCATTCTGCATGCCAGGATTTGATTGCATCCAAAATAAAGTTCAAATTATTTAAGTGCATTTCTAATCTGTATTATTCTATTTTTTCGTTCAAATCAAGTGTGATGGTATATAATAAAGTTTAGTTTTACTTTCATTATAGAAAAGCAAACAGAGTAAATGTTAGAGAAAGTAAAAAAAACTAGAGTAAGATTATGTTTGACAAGATTGTGTAATTTATAGGATTCCTTAATAATGTCAGATCATAACAAACATGATCTGATAAAAAAGTGTGTATTGATAGGATTCCCTAGTAATCTCAGATTATGTTTATTTATAACAAAGTGTTTAATTAATGGGAATGCTTTCGTTAAGCATATCATGGTGTTGTTAAAAACATATACATGTGGGGGACCAAAAACAAAAAATTCAAAATAAAGGAAAAAGGAAAAAAAGAAATGACAGCGTGGTAGCCGCTGGGCCTGCAAGGCTTGCTTAGAGTAGAGAGTGATATGAACAACACAGTGGAAAATGACAAACAACCCTTAAAACCTCGATTTCTCATCTTCTCTTTTAATTCTTCTTTTTTTTTAAATTCTAAACAAGTTCCTGAGTTTTTCTTTTTTTTGCTTGATCAAGCAGCCATATACTTCTTCCTGTAATCAAACCTATTTCCCATGGAAGCTCCCATTCGTGTTCGCTGATTACCGTTTCCGTGTAAGTCTTTCTTTGATTTCGTTAATGTTTAAATTTAAAGAAGCGCAAATCCCTAATAGGTTTAGTATTTGTGAGGTCAAAACCAAATTTTATTGTTTTCTGTTAGTGAAGAAGCTGCGTACATCCGTTGAAATCAATTAAGAGGAGGAAGAGAGAATGTTGTGTGCTTGTTCAGGAGAACAGTTCCGTTTCGAGGACCAGCCTGGCTCACCAGAATCACTCGCCACTCGAGATTTCTCAGCTAGTGGCCTTTCCTCTTCCAGAACCAGAGGAGGAGGCGCCGATTGGGATTCAAAACTCGAAGATTCTCAAGTGGATGAAGCTGAATCCACTCTCAAAGAAGCTCTCTCCCTCAACTACGAGGTGCTCCGCCTTCTCATTAAAATCATCGATTCGTTTCTAATTTTAGAGCTTTTTTTTTTTTAATTTAAAATGGTGTGTTGTGTGTTAGGAAGCGAGGGCTTTACTAGGGAGACTTGAGTTTCAGAGAGGTAACTTCGATGCAGCGCTTCAGGTCTTTAAAGGCATTGACATTAAAGTCTTAACTCCAAGAATAACCAAATCCATTCTCGACAAAACTCGTTCATGTAACAAACCGCCACGCTCCAAATCTCCTCCTCCTCCTCAAACCTCCATGTCAATGCATTCTATTAGCTTACTCCTTGAAGCTATCTTGCTTAAATCAAGATCACTAGAGGAACTCGGCTCTTTCAAAGGTATATATATTTAAAATAGCTTTGCTTTTTAAAAGATCTGTTTCACAATTGTTTTTTAACAGAAGCTGCAGAGGAATGTAAATTAATCTTGGACATGGTTGAGTCTGCGTTACCTAGTGGTATGCCTCAAGGAGTCACCGGATTCGATAAGCTTCAGGAAGTTTTTCACAAGGCGCTTGAGTTGCTTCCTTTACTATGGAGCAAAGCAGGGGACTTTAGTGAGACTGTTGCTTCGTATCGCCGTGCTTTGTCTAGGCCGTGGAATTTGGATCCTCAGAGGTTAGCTGTTACGCAGAAGTCTTTAGCTTTGGTTCTGCTTTACGGAAGTGTTGAAGCGAGTGTGAAGGATAGTATGGAGGAGGCGATTGTGTTGTTGATGTTGCTTGTGAAGAAGATGGTGGTTGGAGGGATACAGTGGGATGGAGAGCTTATGGATCATCTTACTTATGCGCTTTCGATGGTTGGACAGTTTGAAGTGTTGGCGAATTATTTAGAGCAGATTCTTCCGGGGGTTTACACTCGAGGGGAGAGATGGTACTTGCTTTCGCTTTGTTACAGTGCTGCAGGGATTGATAAGACTGCCATTAATCTAGTAAAGATGGTCCTTGGACCTTCGGAATCAAAGCAGATGCCAAATACTTCTTGGTTATTGTTTGGAGCGAAACTATGCTCTGAAGATCCAAAACACTCAAGGGACGGCATAACTTTTGCTCAGAGGCTGCTCGACTTGGCTAATAATCAGAGTGAACATCTTTTGAGCCAAGCGCACAGGTTCCTTGGTGTATGCTATGGAAACGCTGCAAGAAGTTCTAAACTAGACTCTGAACGGGTTTTACTTCATAAGAAATCTCTATTCTCGCTAAATAAAGCTGCAACGAGGGCCAAGGATGATCCGGAACCAGATGTTGTATATAACTTAAGCGTGGAGAATGCGTTTCAAAGAAACCTTCAGGCGGCTTTGGATGGTGCGGTTGAGTATTCTAGTATGGTGGGAGGAGTTTCGACTAGAGGATGGAAACATTTAGCTGCTGTTCTTTCAGCAGAGAAACGGCTCAAGGATGCTGAATCTATTCTGGACTTTACCATGGAAGAAGCGGGTGACATCGAGAAGGTAGATCTTCTGAAGTTGAAAGCTGTGCTTCAGATGGCTCAAGAACAACCTAAGCAGGCATTGAAGACTTGCAGCAATGTGATGGCTCTAATTCGCGCGCAGGAGAAATCTGAACAATCTGAGGTAACTAGTTTCGGTGTCATGATATAAAAATGTTTGTGATCTCTCTGACTACTCTAATAATGCTATATTTTCAGACTCTGCTAAAGAAATATGAAACGGAAGCTTGGCAGGACCTAGCCTCTGTCTATGGGAAGCTAGGTTCATGGTCAGATGCAGAAACTTGTCTGGAGAAAGCAAGATCCATCTGCTTTTATTCTCCCAGAGGCTGGAATGAAACAGGTATGTATGGAGAAAACAACTGATTCATTGTTTTCCCTCTTATTGATAACAATCTCCATACATTTTGCTTATATGGTTTTGGGACAGGTTTGTGTCTCGAAGCTAAATCACTTCATGAAGAGGCTTTGGTATCCTTCTTCATGTCGCTCTCAATAGATCCAGACCACGTCCCCAGCATTGTATCTATAGCAGAGGTTATGATGGAATCAGGAGGTGATACACTTGCAACCGCTAAGAGTTTTCTGATGAACGCCTTACGATTAGACCCTAGAAGTCACGACGCGTGGATGAAGCTAGGCCATCTTGCCAAAATGCAAGGCTTATCACAGCAAGCCGCAGAGTTTTACCAAGCTGCATACGAGCTAGAGTTGTCTGCTCCGGTTCAGAGTTTCATTTGACTTGCAAGAACTCAGGGCAAAGCTTTAGTGAAATCAGGTAACAAAATCTTCTTCAGCCTCTAAACAAAACTCGCAGAGTGGCCGGTTCTTGAGGATAACTTTTTTGATGATTTAGAGTTTGAAGTTGTACTTTGTTGGATGGTTATGTTTATATAAGACAGTAAGGGTTATCTTAAAATCTACCTTAATGAAATGTCACATGCACTTCTTTAGATGAAAGGCATCATAGTTATTTCCTTAGATGGAAGATATTTACATTATATCATTACACTATAGAACTAAAAAGAACAACAAGTATACTCTAAAACCTAATTAAGCATTGTAGCTTGACCGACAAGTTTCTCTGACGGTTGTGTGAAACCTCCACGTAAAGACATAATCCTTGGAATCGCAGTTAAGTTTCATTACATCGCAGAAGGCGTGCACAAGCTCTTCCTTACCGTCTCTTTCCCACTCTATCCTCACCCAGCATGAAAAGCTACTATTATTATTATTATATGGAATCTTGGATTCAAAGAAATGGATCATCACTTCACCACATATCCTCTTCCCTTTCACCATTGAATCTAGCCACGAGCACTCTGGCTGTCCCATCATCTCCTTGTATGCCGAGTTCACGAGCTTGACTCTGTTGTTTGAATCGGATATTATAGCGGGCAGCACATCGGATTCAACTTCTTCTTCGACCTCTTGTGGTGATTTTTTGCTGATTTGAGATGGTAAAGATGCGTTGGTTAGTGGGTTTATGCATGCTACGTTGATCCTTGAGCAAACCGGTTTTATGGGTTGTGGAGTTATGACTCTGCTTGTTGCTGTTGTTGTTGTGATGGGTCCTTGTAGCTGCTTCAAGAAATCTCTCTCTTGTATCACCTCTACGCTCTTGTTCAGATCAATAAGAACGTTTCCTCCGGTCTCTGGCTCCATGCATTTGGAGGAAAGAGGAGAGCATTGCAGAAGAGGCAGAGTCACCAAAGTAGGAGATTTACTATTCTCCAAGGCGTAGCTAACTTGTGCGACGTTAGGTAGCCCAGCATGAGAGAAAGCCTGAAACGAAAGTCCTTTAATAGGGCCAAAGACGCGTTGTGTAGCAGTAGTGGAAGTGACTGTGGCAGAAGCAGATAATGACTTGGGTCTCTTCAAAGCAAGATGAGACGTTGAACCCATCCCACCTCTACCTCGCTTCCGGGTTCTAGTAGGACGAGCTTGAAGCTGTGGCCAGAGGTTGCGAAGGTAAGGAGATTGGCTGATCTTGTTAGACATAGAAGAAGAAGAAGAAGATTCATTATCGTTTACTTGGGTCGCCTTGGGCTTAGGAGCAATGGGTCTATATTTGGACAAGATCTCCGCTGTTTTAAGACTTGTGGTGGTTGAGTGAGAATGGTGAGAGGTATGAGGGCCAAGTATCTTTATCATGGCGTCAAAGACAAAACAAATAAACAACTCTACAAGAAGAAAAAGAAGAAGGAAGACGATAGAAGTTGAGAGAACAAAGAGAGGTAAGGTTATAATAAGGAGAGTTAACAACCAATAAGAGAGAGGCGAATATTAAGGAAGAAGAACATATGGAGAGACAAGGATGGGTACGTGTTAGAGAGGATTAGGGATAGGAACACGTGTAATGTGCAGCTCTTACAAACAGATACTGTGGGGATGTGGTTCGGTTCACCAATCACAAAGGTTGTCACCGCAACGCGTGTTGGCTCTGGACGTCATGCGTGTCTACACCTATCTCCTTTTAATTTTTACTAACATGCAATGTATATTCGTGGTTTTTGTGGAAATGTTAATTTGGAGATTTTGGTTGTTCGAGATGTTGAGGGACGTGTGTGTAAGTAACTGGTCTTTTGGGGAGGAACACGAGGCAGTTGCAGCTTCTGTCTGCTTCATGCAACGGTGGGAGTGAAGGAGAGACACGTGGGGACTTTTTAGTTGACGTTTTGGGTTTTCTTTTCTCGTACGTGTCTTTTATGATGTCATGCCTTGCCTTGGCCGTTTAACATCCTATGCTTGATCGACACATACTGATCTTACGTTTTCGTGGTTTTTGATAGAGTATTTGCACTCCATATACACACAAAACCTCATATTTAACTTCATACCTTATTTCCCCCTTCTCTCTCCTCCCCCTATTATTATTTTTTCCCCCTAAACTAAGGCAAATTCCTAAATAACTTCTTTTTTTGGTATATTCAGCCAATTCACCCTTTTTGATATCTATTGGAATCCATTATAATAAAATTAGTAGGCACGTTTTGTATGCAGACTCTAACGCCCATGTTAAAAGATTTTAGTTTCGAATTTAGATGAGATAACGATGTATATATTTGTTAACTATATTCTTACCACATCCACCGAATGTTTTGGTAATGCATCCTAACCACATCACACGCTATTTTATGCTTTACAATTCCTCTGTTATTCAATAGTTTGTGTACTAATCTTACATAGTACCAGACATATAAAGTACGGTCATGTTTTGAAATCAAACGTTCTTGATATATAACAAAATCATGAGCTAGATAAAACTCAGTATTCAAGGACTGACGAGAACAAGCTTAGAGAAAAAGAAATGTCTAAAATTCAAACACACACAAAAAAAAAAAAAACTAATCAAGGCTCTTACAAAATTCTTGGAAGTATACTTCTTCGCCAGCATTTTCTTCAGCATCCATTGCGCTTTTCCTGACAAAAATTGAAAGAGAACTCTCTCTCCCTCCTTCCTCCTGCCTTATGTTCCAAATATATGTCTGTGAACAGGCTTTGAATCTAAACTCTTGATAACTTCCAACCATGGTTTCTCTACCACTAATATTGCATTCTTTGATAGATGTCTTAGATACAGAACAGGGTGCTTTGAAGTTTCAAACTCCTCTCTCTCTTTTTGATACTCTTCGAACCTACGTTTTCTGGTTCCATTCCCCAAATTTCTCAAACCAATGCTTGCAATTCTATCTTCTACACTCTCAGACAAATCCATCTCTTCGCCTTGTTCCATCGGCTTCCCGAACTCAATCAAACACTTTGCTCTGCTTTGCAACAAGTGTCACGATTAGTAGGGGGCTTTGTTTTGTTTTTGTAGTGCAAAATTGTTATTAGTGAAAATTCTGAAGTACCTGGAGCTGTAAATGATTACAGACGATGAACTTGGTGATGGAGAGAATGAGAGTCCTAAGACCTCACCAGGGAAGTCTTGGTATCTCTTTGGCAAGCAAAGAGTTTGAAGAAGTGACCACTTGCCCAACTCTCTAGCCTCCACGTCCAATGCAAAGACCTGGTTTGAAGAGGTGGAGATCACAAGAACATTGTTGTCCCTGGGATGGAAACCAGCGGCTGCAACAGATGCACCATCAAGCCTTGATATGAACCAATGTTGCCTGTAATCAGAATCAGAGCCTAAATGAATAAAATATACACGGAACTGCTTGTAAATATTCACACCATAACCATAAATCCATAACCTCAGAAGATATAGTATTTTGAACAAGCCTTGACAAATAAATGTAAGCAGAAAGGGATTTACAAGATATTCACCTCTGTGTTTCAAGGTTGAACACGTATATGTCCCCAAAGCAATTAATAGCAGCTAGCCAATGATCATCTGAGCTAGTGTACAGTTTTGTAATTGGAGGTTCACGAGGAGGAGATTCACTTTCCTGCCCTTCCTGACGTGGAGTAAGAGTATGTAATAGCTCCATGCTATCAGTTTCAACGGTCTGCCAAACAAGATAAAGTTAAGATGTTAGACAAGGTTAAGCAAGTAACAGAAAAATTGATACTAACAAGAAAATTGGCACATACATATATCTTTCTGTCATGCCCTGCTATTATTAGCCGAGAGCAGTCACAGCTAAAGACCATGGAATGAGCAGATGGAAGATTCGGAAGTCTCTTTCTGTTGGGACTCCATTGGTTCTTTCCAAGTTTATTTTTCTTCAACTCAAACAGACTTGGTCGAATTTGGTCAGAATAAGCAAAAAGTGATCCCGCGTTAGAAATTGCACTGCATATGATCTTTCTGCCACCTTTACTTTTAACACGAACTAATGGCTTGGTGGAGACACGCCCACTAGACTCACTGCTTATGTGAATACGTAGAACATCTAAAGAACAAGAATCCTGAACCAAGAGAAGAGAAGTCTGATTGAACACTGTATTATGTACCATCTGCATAGGTACTCTCTGAGGCGCAGGACATATATCATGCGGATGGAACTTAGTGAACTCTTGAACTGAGTATGCAAAAAGCTTTGCGTCATCACCAGCTGAAATGAGCATTGGTACCCCCAAATGTGCCCATTTATGGTAACTGATACCACCCGGCTTCTCCTTCCTCCGCTGTTTACGACTTTTGCCTTTTGCATTACCGCCTGGAAGGGAACCTGTAGAGGTGGGAGTTTAAGAACCACAAAATAACAAAAAAAGTAGGTAGCTTCTAGATACACGAAAAAATCGTTGCCATAAGCATTTGGTCAAAGCTTTTAGAGAATAATCACAAAATTTATGGGTGAAAAAGGAGCTTTACGCAGGTTAGCTGCTTCGCTGAAGGTTTATCGGGTGTAACAAAGGGAAAGACTTAAACCCATTTGGTGCTCTAGTTTCTGATTCTTTTCTACTAAATGCTTTGAGTTCTGTGTTTGTGATCCTACAACTCCAAGTCTCCTACACATCCTAGAATGGCTTTTAATTGAAAATTATACTGGACATAGAATAACAAGAATAATCAAGACGCCACTGACCTTCTGAGCTTATTGGCACTGCCACAGTAAGAGCTCTGATGTCATGAGTATGAGCCCTTACACAACCGATGTAATCCCATTTCTTAGTGGAAGAAGGTTTTAAATCTTGTGATTCGGATGTACAACCAGCGAGCTTATATAGAATAACCTACAAAAGGATGAAGAAAAATTAGAAACTTTACACCTAACAACCAAATAACACATGTAATATTATATTAGTAAGGTGTCTGTTTAATTTTCGAAACATTGCAATCAGTCAGACTATTTGTTTCTACTTTCTTTAAGACCAATATCACGTAAAAGAGGGACCAGTCTTTAAGATACATTAAGTGTTAACTGACGCTCACATGAGGGAGCATACCAGTAACTATCATTTACCTGTCCATCGGCACCTGCAGAAAACACACGGTTATGACTTGGGGCAGCTGCAAGAGCATTGACATCACCCTTGTGATTAGAATGCGACTGCAAAAGAGTTCCATGCTGGCTATCCCAAAAGTGGACACTTCCTGTACTATCTCCGCTGACAAGAACTCCACATCTGAAACAAGTAGTGACCAAACGCAGACAAAATCATAAGCAACAGGAAAGGAAAGAGACATAACTAAGATATGAGCACGATAATAATCTTTACCTCAAAGAAAGAAGTGACCAAATGCAGAGCTCAGGCGCGTTTCCCAGTCCTCCAAGTCCAACTGTAATTCTATATACCTCATGGCAGAGGTTAGCATCCCAGCATCTTATCAGCCTACAATTAATTTGACAAATCGCAAAACATTCAGGTCTCTTCTTTCCAACCAAATATGCATCTATTACGAAAGCAAAAGTAAATATCCTCACCCATCACTACTGCCAGAAAATATTCTCTGTCCATCCAAACTCCACGTCACACTCAAAGCACGGCCTACAAACATTAACATTCCATAAATCTCTAAGCAGATACACTAACAAAGAATCAAAACCATGGTAAGTGGGAGAAAAAAATATCTCACCACTGACACGAGGCAACGATCTATAGTAAGTTAATTTCTCAGATTCAGAGACATAATATATCCTCACACATCCATCATCACAAGCAACAGCAAGACGCCTATCAGGTACCTCTGGTTTCTCCTCAACCTCATCAAACTCAGAATCATCTTCAACTCCACTCTCTCCCTCCTCATCAGACTTCTCACTCAAGTATCCATTCTTCACCATACCTTCTGCTTCCGCAGAGGAGTGAGGTTCCACAGCCATTTGCCAGATCGATACTCCAATCGAATCCAACACAACCTAACACAAATTAAATTGAATATTAAAAAAAACGAATACGAGAAAAAGTTACTTAATACAGTTAATATCTCTCACCTTCTGCTTCAGGTCAAAGAGATCCCACTCTGAGATCGTACCATCGATACTCGACGAAAACAACCTCGAACCTAACCAGGTAAGGCACGAGATTCTCGATTTCGAATCTCCATGGATGATCTGTAAATCAGTTGATATAATTTAACTGAATATAAAATCGAATTTGAAATGTGTTGAATCGGAAGAGAGCGTTACGAGTTGAGAGTGCCAAGAGAGAGAGCCAGGGGAGACGAGCCAGAGCTCGAGTGAACCGTCTTCGCGAGCTGCGGCGACTTGAGAGCCGTCGGGGCTGGTGGCTAGGGATACTAACGGAGATGGTTTCCAGTTGATTGAGTTGCAACGGTATTCAAACATGGCGGCGACGGAGTAGGAAGGAGGCGAACTGTTTTCTCTCTGAGGGAAGAGGAAGCAGTTAGGGTTTAGGGTTTTTTTCGAGGGGTTTTAAGTTAGGAGCGGTGGTTTAGAACCGGTTGGGTTGAACCGGTTAAAGACTTGGAGATATTAACCGGATCTAATTTAATATTGACGCTTGTGTGTGATTAACGCCAGGAACATGTTAAACTTATATAAAGGACAAGCACATTCATTTAACATCAAGGAGGATTCAAAAGTTTGAGTGATCTTCCCCCTTAGTCTGGTAGATTCACTGGTACGAGTAGATTCAAATCATACATTTTAATTCCTATTTGAAGAGAAGATTGATTTGAATATTTGATTTCTTTTATTAGTTAACAGCCATTAGGTCGATCTAACCAATTGGAAAGAAAATCAATAGATTCCTTTTCGAGAATGATTCATCATACAACTCTCTGTGGTACTACGCTTTGAAAATGTGAAACTCAATGTTGGTATATACCACAAAATGTTTACTTGTAAACAAAGAAGTAAATAGTGTAAGCATCTTAGCCTAATGGTGGCTAATGGTTATTCACATCTAGAGTTTGGAATTCAGCTAACACAATTTTTTTACAGATTATAAAATGCAATTTTATCAGAAATTTCAGATTATTCATCAATATCGCATATATTGCGGATAGTTGATCATCATATATATAATAAATTCATATGATGATGTAATTGTTTTTTAGTGTTTTAAAAAAATAAAAAAGTAATATTAAAAAGCTTACAATAGAAATGAAATATTTGTCTCTTCTTCCTTATGAGTTTAAATGATGTCTAAATGTGGTAATAATATTTTTCATTCAACAATTAAAACAAATACGTGAGACTGTTATCCAGAATACACCCGGATTAAAACAATGAACTTCCACAAAACATAATCACAAATGATATATTAAAAAAATAGTGTATGCACATTTTTTTATCAATTAAAAGAAACATATTATGTGTTAACGAAGAGCTGAAGAAGTCATGAGATCAGAATCAATTAGAGTCTGGAGAGACTTAGCTTTCCTTCCTGTAACCTTACCAGCTTCTTTCAAAAGCTGGACCAACCTTGTCTTCTCCTCTTCTGTATCAACGTTCGCTGTCCCCAGCTTCTCTTCCCTAGCCCCAACCACATGTCCTAGCAGCTCAATCGCATCCTCCAACCTGTCATCACAACCAAAAACAGGTTAGTCAATAAGAGAATGTAACAAAACACAAGTAATCAATCACTTACCTGCCAATTGCATCATAAGCTCCTGCAAGGTTGTTGTACACACCAAGGGTTTCAGGATGATAAGGACCACATTCTTGTTCTAAAACACATTTAGCTTCTTCAAACAACTCAACAGCCTCTTCTATTGCGTTGAGCTGAATGCAAGCTAGACCCATTTGGTTAAGTGCAATCCCGAAAAACGTTGATTGTTTCTTCCCTGTCCCACGTAGCTTTGAGACAGCGCTCTTAAACGTGTTGTATGAGTCTAAGTACTTCCCCATCATATAGTACATCACTCCCATTTGAGCTTCAATACCTGCAATCATCATCTTCTGACCAGGAGCATCAGCGTATATCTTCAAAGCCTTTTGCAGCAATGTCACAGCTTGTTCCACCTCGTTCATAGACTCACAAATCACAGAGATATCAGTAAGACCACTAGCAATCTCCTCAGGAGAGATCTCTAGGCTATGTGACTCGTATATCCGTAGAGCGTTGTCACAGTAAGACTTTGCTTCTCTCACTTTCCCTGTTCGGTTATAGAGATCAGCTAAACGGATGTAAACCGAACCCACAGATGGATGGTTCTCTCCCTTTGCTGCCTTCAACGCCGTGAGAGACTTCTGGTACGCACAGATAGCTTCGTCGTAACGAGACAAAGACAAGTATGAGTCACCAATGCTGGTGTCAACAAAAGCAACCTCAGACTCTTGTCCATTTGCTGCCATGGCCATGCTGGCTAACACCAAATGCTCAAGAGCGTTCTCGTGATCTCCTTTAGTCTCACTTATAAGACCCATCAGTCTTCTATCTGCAGCCTCTGAGATTGAACCTGGCAAACCGTTTTCTCTATGGATAGAGAGAGCTGTTTGACAAACTTTCTCAGCTTCGTCGAAACGTAGTGCTTGTACAAGAGCCTCTGCTAAGTATCTGCATGTCTCACCAACTCTTGGATCATTATCTCCCAAAACCTTCTTCTGGATTTTCAATCCCTCGGTGTAACAAGATACTGAGTTCTCTAGCTGTCCCACCATAGCATAAGTGTCACCTAACTGCATCAGACCAGCGAACTTGGCTAGTGCATGCCCTTCACCTTCTTCCACAGCTGTCATCTCAATGGATCGCTTCAGAACTGGTATAGCCTCGTTGTACTCCTTTAATTTGCAATGGATAGCTGCTGTAACGTGCAGACACATTATCCATTCCAAACAGGGTTTCCCTTTATTTGCAGAAGCCTCAAACAACTTAGCTGCTCGAAGAGATAACTCTAGAGCTTTGTTGATACTCTCACCAGAACTAATCAAGTTTCTCGCTTGGTTCAGTAAGAAACGTGCCAGCTCCACATTCTCGGATGATGGTTCTTCAGTTCCAACCTTCTTCTTCCTCGTGGCCTTGCCAAATCCAACGTTAGATCTGTTGATGACATTCTTCTTAACAACTTGTTTCTCCGTATCTTTAGGCATGACCTCAGAGGAGCTTGACTTAGCAGCACTTGCTGGTCTCACCGTATTAAACTCTTCTGGCTTTGCAACTTGGTCTTCCTCCTCCTCTTCTTTTTCATCTTCAGTGATGTCTAAATCAGGCGTCTCTCCTAAAGCAAGATGTTGTAGATCAGAATCAATCTTTGACTCCTCATCATCACCGTATGATCCAAAGCTCTGCCTTGAAGGAGAATGATTAGTAGAACTCTGCAACTCGTAGAGGTTCTTGCATAGCTCCTCTATCGTTGCGTCAAACGCATCATCGGCTTTTGAATCACCATTTAATTCCTTAACGGGCCCTCCATCCATTTCTTTTTACTCTTATCTGCACCCAAAAAATAGACACAGCCATAAACAAAAAAAAAACATCATCCATGGAGCCAAAGAACTCAATCCCAAGGGCAATTTCAGAAGAAAAAAATACATAGAAACATAAAAAATTAATCGGATTCTTGAATAACATAGAACCCCTTACCATAACTATATCAACAAACAATTAATTCCAAAAAAAAAAACTATATCAACAAACAACTCATATAAATCATTCAGAAACTTTCATTACAATAGACAGGCAATGTAAGAGAAACAGGAGGCAAATAGTTCTTGTTTTCAGAGATTATTATTGGAAAAAAAAATAGGAGGAAATGAAAATCGTAAGGAAACATACAGACAAAACATTTACCTCTTTAGGGGTTCGTGTCGGAATGGGGGATTCCTAGGAAGGAGACAAGAACAGAAAAGATGGAAGAGAGAAATGTAATTGTAGAGATACGATAAGTCTAGAAATAGGTCGAGGCTGAGAGAGTTGAAGTTTCAACTTTTCTCGGTGGAATGTCAAAGAGGGAAGAAGAGATATAAGAAAGAGAGAGAGAGAGAATATTTATTATTCTCTTTCTTTCTTTCTCCTCTCTCTCTCTGATGCCCCCATGTTTTTCGATATTGCGCTGTCATTTCGTTTTCACGGGTACACCCAAAACAAGTTCACCTAAATCTTAGGAGAAACTGATTTTAAGAGGAACAGTAACATGTAATAAGATTATTTATTACTCTAATGTAAATATTGTTCCTTTTGCAACACAAACTTTGGTTAAGATTGGGTCGAGTCTGTTTTCGGTTTTTGATTAAGCTCACCTAAAGAGTTTGTAAGTTAAGCATGGAAGAAACACATGAGCACAATCTATAGTTACAAATAAAGCTTTTTTCACATCTTAAACACTCTCTCGCAGTAATGTTGATTTGAAACTGTAGGGGTAAGTAAAATTGTGTGTGGAAGAAGGTCAAAAAAAGAAGTTACAATAAAGCGACGGAGTATTAGTCACTCAGGTAGTCTCAGACGGTTGAAAACGACCATGAAGCTCTTCTCAGGGCCAACATATAGGAATCCAAGATCCCCACCCGTCACATATGGCCCCATTCCCTGTGTTCACCAATACACATTAACCATAAACCCCACAAGACAAAAGAACTGATGGGTTTAGCTCTATATCTGTTGTGTTTCTGCATTACCTTTCCATTGAGTTTTAGAAGCTGTCCTCCGACCCATCTTGGGTTTTTAAACCCAAAGTCTGCGATTCTTCCTTCTCCCGTGTAACTCGCTAGCTGCATACAGGTAAAACATCTCTCTGGATAAGCTTTCAATTCAAATGTCAACATGGTTAAACCATGAAATGTCTATTATCGGATAGTCAAAGAATGTTTTTGACTCTTGTTCTGGTTACATGTTTAACTTAAGCATGGTTCTGAATCTTTTACTGATTTACATGTCTGAGCAAGCTTTTGTTTTAGGTCAGTTTCTGTAGTTTTCATAAAACCGAAGCTCAAGCGCTGAGTAAAGTGTCATTACCACTCCCATTTCCTCTGGGTACATTCCACGGTCCCTCATGCGACTCCCCTTCCCAATCCTTGCACGAAATGTCACCTACCAAGAATTTGTGACCCTGTTTTAATTCTTTATCCCATACACAATACAAAAAAATAAAAACTCTAAATAGATAAATAACCTGGCCAGCCGGCACATTTGGATCCCCTGTCAACTTCACAGCCTCAACATATTCAAAGAACTCAATATCCGATGAGTCACTTTCGTCTGCATCATTCCAGTGGCCATACTTACGCTTAAGTTGTACTATCTCAGTGCCATAAGGTCCGAATGCACCAACATATAGGCCTGCACTTTCAAATACAGAACATATTCTAAGTTGAGTTGTACAAATACATTCTGAACCCATATCAAAAGAAAGAGAATAATACTAATGCAAAATATGACTACCATTAAAAGGGTCTAGGTCGCTTTCAGGAGTTAAGATTCTATTAAATGTTGTATACTCAGAGAGCCGATTCCCTTTTTGTGCCTGACTTATCGCAAGCTTGACAATCTCACGGACATTTCTTGATACCTATAAAAATGATCGAACCATAATTATATTATATCTACGGAATAAAGAAAATGTTAACCGTAGAAACCTTCGTATGTGTATTTATAAACTCTAGTGTGATTCTAGAAACAAGACCCTAATATGCTTGCCCTTAGAATGCTACTTATGTCAAAAGACTGCTAAACACATTTAAAAGACATCACAAACAGGAGTTAAATTAATAAGAAACTTAATCTGATTGTAGAGTTCAGCTTTATTAAGAGCAGTGTAAATTTAAGGAACTCACCTTCAAAGAAGGTCTCTCCGAACCCCAGAACGCCTTGACAACCTCTGGTGGCATCAGATCTGAAAGTCCTTGAGCTGCTAGAGCTGTTACTTGCTCCTTGGACACTCTGTCTTTTCTTGTATCAACATCACTCTTTCTCCTCCCAGGAACATGCAAGGTAAAGGAATCTCTTTGGCTATCAGTTATATCTGCCGAAACACGAACAAGCTCATCCTCTATAGAGGAATCCTCTGTGCTATGTAGAACCCCTCCGATGAAAACCTTAGGGTTTAAATCCTTTTCATTATCTGCACTATCCATAGATGCAATTTCTTCAATGCTATCATCATCATCTTCTTCATCAGAAGAACCAGCTTCCTCAATAACTTCTCCAACCAGCTCTTCAAGAGCATCATCACTGCCTACGATCTCTTCATCGGGGAGTTCAACATCCATAACTTTCATCAGTTTAAGCCCTGGGATTTTATCTTTTAGAAATTTTATCACATTTTGGATCCCTTCTTCAGTTGGTTCCTCAGCATTTAGTAGTTTATCTTTTTTCTTATCCACCTTCACTTCACTTCCTCCTGCATCTAGAAGGGATGGGCTCTCAACTGAGGCATCCGATGACTGCTGTGAACTTAAAAGGGAATTCTCGGGAGTGGCTGGTTTTTGCTTGGCATGTTGCAGATAAACCACCTGTACACATGCAGATATGTAAACAACAGCACAAAGGGGTTAATCAGTATTTACAGAACTTGAAAAGGAAAAGAGACTTGCGGGCAATTATGCAACATTAACCTTTTACAAGGCACGCGTATAAAAACCTACTGTCACCAGAATCGATACAAATGTGATGAGCTTAAGTTACCTTCATAACAAATCCCCCATCGGTGTCTTTAACAACGAAAATCTCAAAGAGAGGCGTCCCAGCTGCTGCAGTCACCAGCTGTCTGAACAAAGCATTTATAAGAATCACTGACCAGTAGCAATTGGAAAAAAGGATTAGAATGCTCAGCAAAACATGCTCACACCTGGGACTGTAACTCTTGCCAATAAATCTACCAACGCCTGGAGTTATGCGTACAATTCTGCCAAATGGTTCCTCGGAATCTTGAGGATAACAAACCCACCAACCCACCTACATAGACATCAGAAACGTGGACAGATGCTTTAAATTCTCAACAACCCAAGTTCAGATAACACCATAGATTCTTGACTACGGATTTGGGTAATAATATGAAGCAATTCTTAACAGATTGAGCAGGTGAAACCATCACTTATGTCATGAAACATAAGTTCCTTCAACTAACCTTAACTCCCTTAATAGTTTACACACATGAAACAATTTTTTGCATCCCTTATAAAGCTTACGTAAGATTTGAAAGCGTATAATTTCATCCCTTATAAAGCTTAACGTAAGCTTTGAAAGTGTATATGTGATAAAGGGCAATATTACAAGCTTATACAAAAAAAAAGATATTAAACATAAAGTCGGTACTTCCAAAATTACCAGTCCACTTCCTGTCTGCCTACTTAACTTGGAAGCATCATGGTAACGCTCTTCCCGTATTGCACTCTGCAATGAACATATAACATATAAGTAAAGTAGATAAACATCATGTTACCAAAAAAAAATCATTACAAAGACAAATCTTAACCTGTAACTGGCACATGATCTCAGCCACAGAATCATTCACAGTAGCTTCTCCAATAGCTGCTTTCAACTTCGCTGCTTCTTCAAAATCTTCTCTTTCAATAGCCTCTTCAAGTTGTACCTGTTACACAACTCCAAAATCAGAAACTTTATTCACAAGCAACCAATATCAATTAAGTTGAAGGCAGAGAAGAGAACCTTGAGAAGAGAAACCACTCCATCGATTTCTTCAATCTCATCGAAGTGACGACTCCAACGATCCCAATCCCATTTATTACCTTCACTCGAACTAGTCTCAGGGCCATCAACGGCGGCGCAGTTTCGCAGCAGACATCTAAGAGATGATTTTCTAGGGTTTCGAGTTGATTTAGGATAAGAGATGGAGACGGAGAAATTCGAGCGTTTATTGGTGGAGAGCTCTTGATTTGGAGGTTTTGAGTTGAAGAGGAGGTGAAATTGAGGGAGGGGGATTCTTTGTCCGACAAGACATGGATGAGTTGTTGCCATAACTGTGAGGAGGTTTGTTTAGGTGTTTTTTTTTTCTTCGCCGGGAAAATCTATTACGGAACTGAGAGGAGGCTTTTGCCTGGGAGGCACAGCTCACGACGTGTGTGGTGGTGGATAGGGATGAATAAATTAAAGATGATTTTCCCACACACTTGCCATGTTTTTATACCCCCGGAAATTAATAAAATACAGGAAACTGTTTAAAAAATTATACAGTAGATCTTTTTCAGTTAAAAAAATATAAAGTAATCGAATTTTATACAGGAAACTGTTTAAAAAATTATAGAGTAATCTTTTTAGTTAAAAAATTATAAAGTATTTTCTTTATTATTTACACCAAATTAGAGTAATCAATATTAAAGTTATTCTATTATAGAGAAAAATGATATTACTGTATATTCTATATTAATATAGACTAAACCATTGGATAAAAAATGACTCGATAATAGAGTTATTCTATTTTTTGTCTAAATTATAGAAGAAAAAATAAATAGCCATTAGAGATGGTTTAAGCACCTATAATTTAATATCAAACCTTACAAAGTTTAATCTAAAACCCTCAAACTGGAATTATAACCCAAAATTCTAATTCATAACTAAATCATAAATCTCAAATTGATGTATATCTTTAATTGGAACGAACATGTAGTTCCAAAGTAGGAGAGAACATCATCATACACTCTCTTTTCTTTTTTTTTTTGGACAAGTATTTCAAGAAAAAAACATTGCAATAGCTTACATCTTTATTGGGTATCATGTAAACGTTTTATAGGGTAGAGGCATCCACCTCAGTCATTTCTGAGTTTGATAGATAGGGTTAAATAGACTAAGATTCGGAAGCTGAGGCTGTGTCATCTTTGTGCTTGATCATACCCGAGTCCACAAGAATTGGAATCTCGGCAGCAAGCCATGGAGCTAGTCCCAAACAAAGTGCATGTGCTATACCAAACCTAGGGCTGCATACACAAAAAAGTCATTCATTAATGCCAAGAAAAAAGAGTAATATGCTCATCATATTCGTGACAGAAGTGGATCGCCTAAACCCAAGTTCAGGTTAGCTTCGTTTTCAACAGATAAAACCTAGAAACACACAAAAATGATGCTGAATTTGCTAGCCTGATTATATCGACCTGGACAACGCTAAATGTTAGAATTTGCTAGCCTAATTATATCAACATAGACACTAGACCAATCCAATTGAAATCTTAGGAAGGTGAATTCTTTCATAATCATTGTACAAAATCAAACGGAAACAGAGACATTGCATGCTTCTCTAACAATGTTCACTAACTCTCATTTCGACCTTCACAAACAACTTAGCAATCCGGCCTAATGATATCAACATAGAGACCAAAACCAATCTAATTAACATCTTAGGACTTCGAACACTTTCATAATCCATCCTTGTACAAAATCAATGTTAAAACAGACTAAACTTGTCTACAACATTGCATGCTTCTCTAACAATGCCTAATAAGCATAATAAAGTTACCAGTTTTTAGCCCAAAGCGGCTTGAAATGCACCGTCAAGCAAATCTTCCCACCTCGATACATCTAACAGAAACCAATAAAGAGAGATACTTTTCAGTTTACACAATTGACCAGAAACCACATTCAATCCCAACCAAAAAACAAAGCACAAACCTTTTGTGTTTTGCCGTCAATCTCAGGCAACTCAAGCTCAGGAGCAGTAGCAGGGTAGGTAACAGGGATATCGAATTGGAGATCGAACTCGTACTTGAGGAGGTTGTGAACATACCAACACTTGCCACTCCAACGCGTACCTTCGGGATTGGACGCGGAGATACGGAACCAGTCGTTGTCATTGGACTTGTTCATCTGTGTGTATGCGATCAGAGATTTGTACTCTTCTTTAAGCCTCTGTTTCCATGCATCGCCGTCTCTTGGCCCCGCCTTTGTTGTCAGAAGCGGGATTCGCGTTAGGGTTGATTTCGTGCTCGGATCCCATCCTTCCATTCTCGCTGATTTTGGGCGTAAATGTTTTTTTTTTTGGGTTTGATTCTGATTCTTCTCTTTAGCTTCTTGTCGGAGGAGGAGCATGGGGGGGGACCAAGAGGGAAAATGTAACCGAACACAAAACCAAACCGTGTTGAGTTTGGCGGTTTGGTTCAATTGAAAACTGAAAACGGAACCAATCTCTTCAGTTTTTTTTTTTTTAAATGTTGAACTTTTTTCAAGTTTGATTAAAAATGACTAAACAATACTGTATGTATTTTCAGTAAAAATATCTTTCTTTTAATTCTATATTTGAGTCTATAAAATATTATATAATATTTAAATCCAAGTTTACCATTACTTTGAATCTAAAATAAAGAAGACTATTATTATTTCTATATACAGTGAAAGAAACAGAATTTATTTGAAAAAAAAAAAAAAACAGAATTTATTTGTTTTAAAAGAATGCATTGGGTCACTTTTTTCTTCTATTTCACATTTTGTCTTTTGTTTTCGAAAATAAAATATATTGGAGATATCGCTTTGCCTCAAACTATTGCAATTGTTTTTTCAAATTTTCCTTTGGATTTATACTTTGTTTTTCATTTCAGTTCTAGTTTCATGAATATATGATGTGTGTGTTTGCATGATGAAAAATTACACAAACGGGATAGAAACCGAGGAAATATTAATCCAGTTTTTTTTTCTTGGACACAACTATAAAGAATGTGATGCATAATTTGTCACTATAACTGACTGGAATGTCAAACTAACCTACAAGTAACCACTGACTCAAAAAAGCCAATTAGATGGTCTCTTTTGTTTAAAAAAAAAAACATTCAGCCGATCTTATTTAGGCATTGCTTAAGTTTGACAATATGATTACGTTTTATGTTAGTTTGTTTGTAAGCACTTACGTTTGCTTTACTCTCTTAGTTAAACCTGTCATGAGACCAAATAATCGATAAAGAGACGTGAATTGTGTGATTCAGCTGTGTCCAAAAAAAACTTAAAACTGTACTAAACTGTAATACTAGCTTGGTTTCGTACAACAAAATGTCATGATACTACCAACTAATCGATAAAGAAGTGTGATTTTGCGTTCAAAATGATAATCAGTGAAGGAAAGCAGTGTGATTCAGCTGTGAATCAAGGGAACGTAAGCTAATGCTAGAACCAAAAGAAGCTCGGTTACATAACACAAAACGGCGCTCATCCCAACTTCAGAGACTTAAAACGGCAGGGTGTTTCGCTCATCTAGAAGCCATACCTCTTTGTTTTTCTTCTTCGTGTGTGAGCGCGTCTCAACGCCTAACTGCTCCCGACCCCTACTCTCGTGTCGCCGAGATTCTCCTTCTTCAACCTTCAAAAACCCTAAAAGACAATTCCGCCAACCGAATCTCGAATTCAGCGATGGCGGCCGCTGCCGCAACAGCCAGGACCCAGGCGCTCTCTCTCCTCGCCGCTGCAAACAACCACGGCGATTTGGCGGTGAAGCTCTCGTCTCTAAGACAGGTTAAAGAGATACTGCTATCGCTGGAAGAGCCGTCTCTCTCCGCTGAGATCTTCCCTTATCTCGCAGAGCTCCACTCGTCCCCTGAAATCCTCGTTCGCAAATCGCTTCTCGAGTGAGTTCTCTCTCACCAATTCCATAACGGCCTTCTACATGATTTGTACGATGAGATTTGTTTTGAATTTGATTGTGACACGTGTTTAGGGTTCTTTAATTAATAAAAGAGTGGTTGATTTAATTGATTTTGGGTGACAGGATCATTGAGGAGGTTGGTTTGAGGATGGTGGATCATTCTTATGCTCTAGTGACTGTGTTAGTGGTATTAGCAAGGGATGAGGATCCAATTGTGGCAAAGAAAGCTATTTCTGTTGGCACAGCTTTCTATTGCAGCATCTTGGAGGAGATGGCAGTGCAGGTTTGTAACTGTTTCTCTAGTTGGATATGTTGTCATTTAAATATAAATATTTTAGTTGGCTTTGAGATTGAATTAAAAAACCATGGAATCAGTCCTCTCTCTTGCTTTCTTTTTTTGAAAGTTTGGGTTGGTTTATGTTGGTACTGCATATTTTGCTATTTAAGGTTAGCGTCGTAAGACCATGATTAACCGTTTGTTAACTGGGGTTTTTAGCTTCGGCTCTTAGCCGAAAAGTGTAAAAAAAAATGTCAAATAAATCATGGGTTAATCATGCTCTAAGGCTTTAGGGTAATATGAAATAGTGAAGACAATAAAGCTGTGCAAGTATGGTGATTTTTTTGTTGAAGTTTTTTTTGTTTGATTTCTTATCCCTTTCTCTTACTTTTGTGCTGAGTTGGCGTTTATTACTTTATATATTCACCACAGCGATTGGATGTGATTCCCTTTCTCTCTCTCTCTCTCTCTCTCTCACTGATATGTGTTATTAACTTATTATTGATGATACAGTTTCATCATCGTGGTAAAGTTGATCGTTGGGTTGGGGAGCTATGGACATGGATGGTTAAGTTCAAAGATGTTGTCTTCTCTACTGCATTGGAGGTATTCTTGCTGTGTATAGCCTCTCTTTTTTTCTTCTGTCTACTCTCGTTGGTTGAGTATTTGTTCTGCTTCTTTGTCAATGTTAAGGTTTTCTAAATTAGGTCTGCTGTTTCTTTCATGATAGCCTGGTAGTGTAGGCGTGAAAGTTCTGGCGATAAAGTTTATGGAGACATTTATTTTGCTTTTTACTCCTGATGCATCTGATCCTGAGATTTTTTCCAACGACGGTATGACGGTCTAATCATGCAGTTTGAATCTGGAATAGCAAGATACGTGATTTACTCATTTTGTTTATGGCATGTCAACTTTTCCTATTGTACTACAGGGAGTAGGCAGATGTTTAATATTTCCTGGCTTTCTGGCGGTCACCCCATTCTAAATTCAGTAACGCTTACGTCTGAAGCAAATAAGACGTTTGGTATCTTACTAGATCTCATACAGTCGGCTAGACGTTTACCGGGTGCACTGGCGATAGCTGTTGTTAGTTGGTATGTTTATGTCTCCATCCCACTATTCTTGTGTATTCGCTTTGTTTTATATTCTTCATGATGTTAGTTTCGCTTGGTCACCTGATAGCTAGATCAAAATGATTGCCCATTATTTTGTTTGGTAACCTGCATGTGTCTTGCTGCACTGATATGTGTTGTTAAGGGTACGATGGGGTGATATTACTAGTTTTCTTTTGAACAAGTTTGATGTGTGCCTCATGTTTGTGAGATACAACAATAAGCAGATGATCTTCCACTTGTGTCATAATCAAATAAACTTTGTAAGACGAATAACATCAGGGGGGGAATAAACTTTTGTTTTTCATTTTTATGCGTCTACTAAACTTTTGGCTGAGAGAGATTAAGCATGGAGACAGGTCATATCACCCGTTCAACCCATATGATATAGTTGCGGCTTACTGATTCATACTCTGGGGAAACATGGCTCGTTGAAGCTGCATCAGTTATCGGATATTGACAGTTACCTGGGTACTGTGGAGCTCCGATATTCAAGTCATAAGGACATCAAACAACGAATTGAATGGTCAGCTAGTAGTTAGAAATGCTGTTTCCAAGTAACGCTGAAACGTGGTAGAGGCAAGTTCTGTTTGGTTATTATGTGAATGGTTGTATATAATATACTTATGACGGTTATGTTGGGATATTGACAATGTATCAGTACAATATTACGGTTTACAGTAAAATTTGGCAATCAGAGATTTCTTTATACTGAATTTTTTACTTTCTGCGATGATTAATTTGTCTTCTCCACATATTTTGGTGGATACTGATGATGATGAATTGAATATGTTTTCCTACTTGATCTTATGTCATGTCTTGTTCTGATGATGGCGATAAAAGTTATCTCGTGGCTGTTATGTCCTGTAGCTGTAGGTGGCATATCTCAGTCACTTTGAACTAAGGTTCCTTTCTGTTTGGGGGCACCGTCAGCTTAACTAGGGAATTATCTATTATGCTTAGCAACTAGATTTGTCATTTTTTGACGAACTTTACAAAAACTAGTAATTGCCTAGCAGATGATTGTTTTTGTTTGCTACCTTTTAATGTCTGGGACCAGTTATCTATGTGAAAAAGATCAATGTTAAACTCTGAGATGAAAGACATTATCCAGAGATTGTTTTTTCATTCGGTTTTAATTGACCTTTTGTTGATGATGTCTTGAAGTAAGAAAATGTGAAATAGATGATCTTATTGTAATTGGCGGAAATCTTTAGGATATGCTGGCTTTGCAGAGATTTGTTTATGTTGATATGTTTCCAGGCCACAATCTCCGACTGCTCAAACTTGATAATGGGATATGTAAAGAGTTCGTTTGAGCTAAGTTTTACTGTTAAGGAGCTTATTATTGGTGTTGTATGCTGCAGAATCACGAGGAAAGTTTCTCACAGGAATGGTTGCTCAATTAAGTTATATTAATCTCGAGTATCGTACGTTAGATAACAATTGCATGTGGGTAGTGTCTTTGACGCAAGTATCATTCTTTTGTTTGCTGAGATGTGCAGTGATCCATTAGGACATGCTTTTAGAAGCAAACCTGAACCATTTGCAATTTTTAATATTTCTTCGTAAGCACTGGTCTCGTATCTGACAGTAGCTGGTCTTTCACAGTCTTGCAGTGGTAGCAAGGAAGAGGCCTGTCCACTACAACACTGTCCTTTCTGTTCTGCTGGATTTTCACCCAAATCTTGAGACAGCAAAGGGGTGCCATGCAGCAAGCGTTCAGTATTCCATTAGAACTGCCTTACTGGGATTTCTTAGATGTACTTCCTCACCTATGATAGAGGTAGAGCGTTCAAATTTTCATTGTTTTATTTCTCTCTGAAGTATATATAGATTTAATTCATCATTTTCTCCTCAATTCTTCTCTGTTTTTTATTAGTTCTTTCTGAATATCATTTGACATCATTGTTAAGCATCACTATTAAGTATCTTTATACTAATGAAACTATTGTTGTGGGTTAGTTGTTTTTGTTATTTAGGTGTC